TGCTATAAAGGAAATGAGGAACAAAAATTGGGTGGAGTCGGAGTACTGATCGACAAAATAGAAGCTGCTTCATGCCATCTCAGAAAGATTTGCACTAGACATAAAAATAGTCATAAAAAAAGTCATCAAAAATAAGAAATAGAAACATTCTATGAACATATCAAGGAAGCGCTAAACAAAAATAAGACGAAATACACAATAATGATGGGAGAGTTAAACGCAAAAGTAGGAAAACAAGAAAACCTAAGCAAACAAGGAATAAGCCCAGTTCGGACTTGGAGCAGGAAATAGCAGAGGAAACAGGATAGTAGATTATATCAGTGAAAAAAGCCTTCATCTGGAGATGGACGGTAAAGAACGAGATTGACTACAACATCTGTAATGATAAAAACATAATCCAAGACACCTCAGTACTGAAGACCATAAATATAGGGCGCGATCATGGGATGCTGAGCGAAAGTTAGAATTAACAAACAGAAAGAAAATTGATAAGATCTGGGAACAAAAGAATAAAGGGTGAGGAAATAAAACGATAAAAAATAACTGGAGATTGTACAAGAACAAATACCGGAACATAATATGCACATGGAACAATATCCAACCATGAATATTAATGACAAAAGTTCAACTAAAGACAACTCAGACAATAAAAGTAAACGAAAAAGAAACGAAACACAAACTTCAAGTCAAGAAACCCAACAATTAATTGAACAACGAACGGAGTTATCAAGGGATCGAACAAATAACCGTCACGAAAAAATACCATATTACAAATGGATAAGACAAAAAGTAAGAGCAGATATCAGAAAACACCAAAACCTGAGAATAAGAGAAACGATGGAAAAACACAAAAGCCTGAAACAATTGAGGACAAAAATGAACGAAGGAACAACAAATAACAAATATATTGAATGAAAAGGTAGAAATGACCATGGAAGTGGAAGAAATAACAAAACAGTGGAAAACTACTATAGTACACTATATGAGTAGGTACTGAATGCAAAATGAGACTGAACATACCCAAATCCACAAAACCTAAACCGCAAATAATTAGCAAATTCAATGTCGAATCATTAGAAGATGACAACACAAAACATCTGCATGAAGATCGATTAAACCAGAAAATACTGTAAAGACCAGTAAATACCGAAGAGAGCCTAGACCACCAAAGAAAAACAATAAAAAGCAATAGGAAAGCGACAATACAGTCAACAGAACACCACGGTTCACACCGGAAGTTAAAGAAGTAGCTAAACAAAAGAAGACGATATATGTATATCAATATATGCGAGATCAAACACCTCGAAACTGGAACTATCGAAGAGAACGAAACGAGGCAAATGCAAAAATAACGAAACTAAAAGAAAATTATTGGGAAAAAGTTCACAAAAGGACTGGAAAGAGCCCTATATGGAAGCCAGAGAAAAATATGGAGAATGCTGAGAAGAAATAAGCTAGAAGTCAAATATACCATACGACAGAGCAGTGGGAAACACACTTTGGGAATCTATACAAGAAAGAAACAAAACAGTTGCAATTAATTTTTGAAAATATTATTTTATAGCCCCGCTTATCTATTAACTTGTTTTCTCAAAGATGATGTTCAGAAACCAATTAAAAATGGCTTTTTTATTTGCTTCAAAAAGAATTAGGTAACTTAACATACAGTGCGCGACATTTGATTACTCTCACCTAATGAAAGAAAAAGTTTGATTATTTTATATATTAATAACTAAATTATCAATCAACTACCCCTAACTGTTGACGAAAAGAATGTAGTTTGAGGGCCAACAGGAAAACATTCGTTTTATCGCAAAACTATAGACATCATCTGATATTTTCTTTCTTTTGCTGTTGCATGATGATCCATGCATGCAGCACTAGAAACGATTGGGCAGCGAAACGAAATAATATAAAGAAGACAAACCTGATACAAAAATTAAATTAATTAATTAACTAGTTTACTTGCTCACACTATTCGTTTCATACATTGTTACAATTTAAATCTTTCGCGACTAAAAATAACGTAAATAACGCCCGCTTTTGTTTCTATTCAAATTTCCATAGGAGATTTTATGTAATCTGGCAACCCAGGATTCATATTTTAACACCCACCATTCACTTTACGATCGGAAATACTTAGCATTCCGAGATTTGCATGGGTTTAACAGCACACGTCCTTCACATCGACTTTATTACTTGCAGAAAAAATAAGTTCGGCAGCAAAAACAAAAATAAATGTTGTAGCTTTTGATGATTACAAATTATTTTGGAAACAAGCCGATATGGTGAAACAAAGAGAAATGAATACCGAAAATTAATTAAGAAAACTGTGGAATAATTGGAAAATTTATAAATTTCTTTACAATCAATATAAAATGAAGATTGCTCAAAGTTAAAAAATTCTTCGATTTCAACAACTTTCCTACCAGCACAATAAGATACTTTTACTAGGTACGTTTTTAATATAAAACCTATGTGGTAAATTCCATTTTCACTTATCACTAGAAAGAGTGAACGGTCGTAATTCCTCTACGAGATAAACCATGCAACTGATATATTCCAGAATTCCGTTGTTCAGTCCATATAGATGATAACACGGAAGAAAATGCAACAATGAAATAGCACAATCAAACACTTGGCATTTTTCCTTTCGTTCGAACACAAAGAACATCGATGACCTTAGATTTCCACAGTTGGTACTGAAAAACATCGCTATAACGAAAACATCTAATTCACTTAGATATCGTGCGAACATGTTGCAAAACCATTTAAAATTCCCATACTAGCGCTAAATCGTTTCAAGGATTATCTGTTTTTGTTTAAACTGTAAGCAGTTTATTTATTTACACTAGTGTAAATGAGTTCTATGTTGCGCTGGATGCCATTATTTTATTTGCATTAACTCAAGGTACAAATATTTCCAGGACACAGATATATTTAATGCGTTACATAGAAGAAACGTTTAGCATAAAATCGTCCAATGAAGGATCAAAATGCACATATGAAATGGCTTTCTAAATTAAAAAATAGCAACAAATTTATGGATTTTGGAAAATTTAAGGTTTTATAAAAGTTAAATAACACTAAACCAAATACAATGTGCATTACTGTTTAAATCGTTCAATGTAGTTTTATGGAAATTTGAACTATTTGCTTAAATTTTCTTTATATTTTTGCATATTTTATTTTATGTATTGTTGGCATCCATCTTAATAAATTTTCGCTTGCGCCATTATCAATGTTTGATCTTGAGCAAAGACCTGAATGTCCTCAATCGAGCAAAAGTTTTCCAATTCAGTTGGTGCAAAAGTGCCATAAAGTGTATTTTACATTTTATCATGCTAAATAAACTAATTTTCTTTTTATGCGCGCGAATTTAAAATGCTTTAAAATGTGGATACGATACTGTAGGTAATTTTGAGTAAAATTGTATAGTAAATTTGGAAACTATTGGTAAATGCTTGTTTAGTAAATTTGCACTAATAATACTATTTATTTAGCAGTTTTTTTTATGATTATTGTATATGACGGAGAATTTTATGAAAAAACTTCCTTTAACTATAAACTGATAAAAAGTGGTAAAACTTTGAGTATTCAATTGATTGACTCTGTGCCAGAAGCAGAAACAACTTCTGTAATAAAATGAATGGAAAGTAGTGTTTCCCAATTAGCAGAGCTAATGAACAAACTATTACAACGCAATGGAGCCGACAGATCAAAAATAAAATATCAATTCGCATGCCAGCCAAAATGAGTTTATTACAAAGAGACTTAACTGGCAGGAATGTCGTTCTTCGGTAACAAGCGGTAGGTAATAGCAGCGTATCTTATAGAAGCGTGGTATTTAATCTCTTAACATTTCTCGTCTATCATCGAAACGCCATAAGCAATTTTAGGCTCAATAAACAAGGCTATGCCATAAAGTGCCATTTATCTGTGACGATAAAAATACCAAGGAAATACTGGCGAGCGACAATTATAAGGGCGATGTTCTTGGAAATAAGCTTAGGATTTAAATAATTTAAAAACATAGGAGTTGACTAAAGCCAATTCATGTCAGTAAAATATTGTCAAAACTTATATAATATTTAGTGCGATTTAACATTTAGACATTAGTTTACTCAAGACAAAAACAAGCAAACAGTACTTTAATATACAGGGTGATTCAAAATTGGCGTCATTCCTTTTAAGGGGTGATAGAGGCTCCCTTAGGGAGCACGAGAAAAATATTGAACATTTTTTTTTCAAAAATTTCTAGAAGATATTAACAGTTGAAGATCGAATTTCAGCATGTTATTAAGCATTAGGAAGCATGGAATACTTATAAGCATTCAAAAAGAAAAATTACGAAAATTTCTGATATTCAAAAAGTTCTCTTCTACAGTTTTTTGATGAAAAGTCAAAGCGGCAATGATGTTTTTTGGCATTAACAGATAGTTACAGGTGGAGAGCCCTTGTCCATAATAACAATAATTTGCCAAACTGTGACTTACTTTGAAGCTCTTTTCCCGAATTTGCGGATATGCGTTTAGTTCGGGGGAAATACTACAGTAACATAGCAGAAGCTAAAAGAACTCACGCCAACATAGGGCGAGGAGAGTGGTTCCAGGAAGATAGTGGACGACAATAGATGTTCGAGTTCCAGACACAGAGGAACAAATATTGGATATAATTGCTGCAGAGCCTTCCAGGGGCACTCAGAACATTGCACATTGACACTCCCAAGCACCAAACAAATACCGGCTACATTCCTACCACGTATGTAAGATTCACATTAAACCAATGGATTACTGAACACCGGTATAAATTGAGCAGGAGTTAATTAACCGAATACGAGAAACTGCTCGAGAAGAGTGCATAATAAGGTGATTACACAGGCACTTGTGTGAAGTTCCAGACAGAGAAGTTATATATATGTATATATTACAGAATATTTATATATCAGATTATTAAATAACACTATAATTTGTTAGGTGTGTCTTAAAGTATATGCTTACATTTGCGCCTGTATCATATGAGTAGTGGTTTTCTTCTCTTAGTTGTAGAAAAGTATTTACCTGAAAAACAAAGAAAATGTGCATGAAAATTGGGAACTTTTCAAATACCAAAACTGATCAAAACTAATTATTTTCATTTATACTTGTACAATATATGAATATATTCTAACATTTAACATATTTTATTGCATCCATTTCCTAAATGGACTAAAAATGTTTTAAAAGTAATACTTAATGTAAAAAAGTACAATCTGGTTTCGACTTTTTAGTGTTATTAACAATACATGTTGAACTGATTTAACATAAATCTGGCCTTTCAGATTTGGATTATCAATTTTGACAATCAACATTTATAAATAGAATACTTGAATAAATATACTAAAAAAATAAGACAATTAAGTCCTCCAGGACTTTAAATATTGTCTTCTAAATCTTTTTGCATAGTGGTTTTTATTGCAAATTTATGTCAGCAACAAAAGCTAACATTTTTATGGTTTTCGTTAGATTATGTCATTATGCCATGCTTAGCACCTCCAATAGATTCAAAATAAAAAAATATATATGAAGTAAGTATAAGCAATACCTGTCTTGATTTCCTTTATTTTGACCAATTAATATACCGTAAAGTTGGCTTACTATTAATTAAGAAATTACCCGGTGGTTGATTTTAGTATGGAAATAATTAACAATCTTTAATTTTGAACGTCAAAAAGCGTTGCAGGTTTGCTGGTTATGCACACATAAAAAATCAAAGTTCAATCATCGGTTGCAATACGCTATTAATAATCACCAAATACTGAAATACAGATATTTTATCTTTTTATCGTTTATTTGCATCATTCGATGTTTTCTTTTCTGCGACTTCCCAAGTATCATTGCTACTATTGGTGTCAAAATCGCTGATTTCTTAATTCAAACCAAAGTAATTTGTGATGTTTTTCGACAGAAATCGTTCATTTAGGTTTCACAAGAAAACATGCAACAAACGATTGGAAAGATTACTTTCTTGTTTTTACTACTAAAATAGAAGTAACATTGAATAAATCAGAAAAGATCTGGCAATAGTTATCTGTTATATTGACTACAATGTGGCTTCAAAACAGGCTAATCCGCGATAAATTAAATTCTAAGGTGTGTATTTCCTTTGGATTTAATGGGCATTTCCAAGTCGCGTCTGATAAGATAACGTCTTTTATTTGAAGTAAAATTGCAAAAGTCAATTCTTGTGACAAAGTTATATTTATTCAATGTCGTACTTAAAAGTTTATCCACCCATATTGTATGTCTCCCTGCTTTAAATAGTTTTTCTTCAGATTAGTTCAGTTACGGTTCATAAAATTTACTACTCTAGTGAAAAGAATTAGTATTTCTCAGGCAAATATTTCGAATATTTACCGATATTTCTGACAAAATCAGGGTTGCAAGTCCGTCTAACTAGCACTCTTTACAAGTGAAACATTTGTTAAGTATATAAGGTGACTCGAAACTAAATTGCCTATATTCTAAGAGAGTCTATTAGATTTTTTCCGGGTACTAAATAGATGAGAAGATTATTGGAAGTTGCTTGGAAGGATGTCAGAATATTGTGGGACAAGAGTTTCAACGCGAATTCCGGCTGTGGAACATTGTTACATAATTGAAGAAAGTGCGAAATTGATTGATGATGCGTTTTTTTGCGCATAACCTTAGAACCATGGATGCTTTTTAAACTAAATTAAAATGCGTTCATTTATTTACTTAAAAACCAAAAAAAACGTCGATTTCACCTTTTTTTAATTTTCTTTAATTAGTTAAGTTAATTAAGATATTCATAACTTTTGTTCATTCCCATTTGGTAAAATTTATACCACTTATAAAGTGTACATAGACTTTCCAAAAAAGTTATAGTACGATTTTTTTGAAGCAAAACTAAATTTATTATAGAAAATTAAAAAACAAAACGCTAAAATCGGCGGTTTTCTTCGTTTTTTTGAGTAAACAAATGAACAGATTTTAAATTAGTTATATGTATATTGTAGGTAATTTTAATACTTGAAAAAAAGTATTAACTTTCTATAGCATCAACGGTTCAAAACTTATGCGCAAAAATAGGTTTTTTTCACTTAAATTATTCAAACAATGTTCCACAGACGGAAACCACACTCACACTATTATCCCACTATTCTGACATTCTTCCGAACAACTTCCAATAACCTTCATCTATTTAGTGCCTGAAACAGGCCTTTTAAAGCCTAATCTGACTGGACTGACTATATGTAATAGATAAAAATATTTTCCCATATTAGTATATGGGTTGTTGTTTATAATGCTATTATTGGCTAGGTTTTACTTGAATCAATTTTGATTTGCACTGTATTGAATTTTAGCGCTGCAACTTCTGGCTGCTAGTAGATTGGTGATTGTCATTTTATAAGTTTCCTTGTAACACTTGTGCAATAATATCCAATTAAATCAAAAGAATCTAAAAAGCAGTTTTTTCCCAAATTGAGAACAGAATAAAAACTTTTAAGAACATCACGTCAGTGGAGCTCCACATAAAATATTAGAAGAAAAATGCCCATAAAGACCGTAATATGTGTACTTAATTAAAAGACTAAAAATTGATAAAAATTGAATTTAGCAACTTTGTATCTCGTAAATGTAAATAAAGCGTTTTGTCGTATTTCCAAAATCTACAATTTTGGGTCACCCTGAATACCTATTAAAATAAAATCAATATTCAAAAAAAAAAATGTAAGGACAAATCTTCCAACTTATTAATGCAAAAGAGAAATGCAATTGCAATATTCTTTATACTTAAGTAAACGTTTTTATTGAGGAGTGGTAAATACAGAGCTGGATCTAGGGGGGCTACGGGAGCTATAGCCCCGGCCCTCACGATGTTGGCGGCCTTCGTAAGATCTATATTACGGCTTTTCTTTTTTTTTAGAAAAGAGCCTCTGCAAGGATCGTACCCCCGGGCCTCCGTCAAAGGATTGTGGCCTTCCAAAATGTCACAAGATGGTGATATCGGACCTTTTTTTATAAAAGGGCCTCTGCAAGGATCGTCACCCCTAGGCCCTGCCACACGTTAATCCGACCCTGGGTAAATGAGAACACATTCCAATAAATTGTGCAATATTTCAGCATACCTACTTAGGTATATTTTCATTCAATAATGCAAACTGAATAAAATCAAAAACATATTTATTAAACGAATGAAAATTCATTCGTTCGTTCTGAAATATTCAGAAATTCTGAATATTTCATTTGGCTTAAATTGGGAAAATTGCAGACACAAAACGGAATTTTTCCAATTACAGCACCACCACTGTTGCAATAACAATTTTATAAACTTCGAAAAAATTGTAACAGTCTAATCAAAGCATTCCATTTTTTTTTAAGAATCAAAATGTGTATTTATCAGATGTAATGCTTCCAATTTTTTAAACTATGTATTTTTAATGTCTTCATGCTGAACCGCTACAAATTATTTACACCTTTAGGTACAATAAAAACCAATTGCAAAAGGGTTACCTATTGCTTGTAAGTATATTGGAAAAAGTTGTCTCTGTAATTAACGTAAACGGTAAACAAATATTGAGCGAAACGAAATTTTTCGAACGTAGGTATTTCCCGGATATATCAAGATCTAAGTGTTTGTCCGGAGATAACAAAGTAAAATTGTTAAAATATTAAAGTTTAACAATTAAGGCATTTGGCAATTTTTGAATCCCATCAACAAAAGTGATAAGCGAAATAATGATACTAACCTTAGGGAAAGAAAATAGTTTACAAACACGGCAAAATAAAACACAAACTGCTTGCTGACACACTCGCACAACATAAACAAAAGTGACGAATTGACGAAAAAACTGACGAACAACACAATTGTGCGCAGAAACAAAGGAACAAGAGCGCGGACTACTGGATTAGGTATAACGCACAGATAAATACTGACTTATCGAAATTTGTTCGAATTATTTTTCCGCTCGGTAGTGGCAGATAAAATGTGCTACAGCAGTCATGTGACCAATGATGACTGACGTCATGGTACTGAGTAGTACCACAAAGAACCGACGTTGTCAGACTTATGTTTTAGTCGGAAGGTACCGTCTTGGGGTTTCATTTCTGAAAAATATTTGAAGCAGAAAGCTATAGAAAATTTGTGCAAAAAGTGAATATTTACTTAAATAATAACACAAATAATTGCGCGGCTAAATGTTTTATCAGATAAAAGATTTGCCATTCTCTCTCAAATGAGCCCAAAATCGGGAGTTGTTGATACAAAACTTGAAAAATAAAGCCAGTAAAGTTCATGATGTTTTAAAGTACCTAGTCGATTTTCGACTGAACAATCAGAATAAACGGCCGTTAACGTTTTCAACATGGTTCTACCCAAATTTGTATTTTCGGTCACACAACACTGTATAACAATTTCAGCAGCTTATTGCTAATTAAATAATTTTTAATTCGGTTAAAACGTACTACTTGTTGCTATTTTAAACATTAGTTTGCACCTTCCCACAGGCATAACTTTAAAATGTAAAAAGCAAAAAATGTGTGAATACCATTGACGACAGTAAGGATTCAGCTATAGTTAGAAAACGTAAACATTTTCTAAGAAAGCAGCAGTTATTACCATAAGATGAACAATTTGGCAATATTGGCTGAAACAGTGGGTACCATTCCAACAAGGACAGAGAATGTTTGCTTTTAGGCGATTACCGAAACGTTTCGACAAGTCGATTCATGTTTCAACCGGTTGCAACTTTCCGGGCTTATCGAAGATGTTCAAAAAGCGCGTGCGGGCGCGGCGATGGTGCTTTTTCTAAGGTACTAAAAGGTACTTTTACTAAGCGGCAACTTGTTAAATTGTGGCATGTGTGTTCGCCCTACAAGAGACSTTTTTGTCAAACATKTTAAATTTGCAATATTTTGACTAATATGATAAAAAAYAMATGATTTTATGATTTTGGATTGCCATGMAATAGGTGWTAAGGATGTGACGTGSAWTAWAACTTGTTTMTGTAAATATTTTATTTTGATTGAATTTGATCTAACTAAAATTGGTTTACAAATAYTTTTTAAAATTTTAGTATCTATGAAGTAAGAGTAATAGTGAATAGGGGCAAACTTTTGCCTATATACGCATATYGCTTAAGGGCGTTTTACAGTCGRCAATTTTATCGCCCGCAACTTCCTTGCGGCTATTTTCTTGCAGCTATAATTTTAGTACTCGCTTTACAGTGTGCAATGTTAACCTYACATTTAGACAAATCGATCAAGCGTACCAACTATTCACTATACGTGAAAAATCCAAAGTTTGTTTGKTTGTKTTGATTTCGTTTTTTTTCTTCTTTAAGTAGTTACTTATGACCCATGTCTTGTTCTTGTTTTTAGAATATCTATATTATTTTTAGTTTACCAATTCAGAATTATTTTTTYCAATGAACTACATTATTATTTATCGTCACTATTTCCACCATCATCATCATTGCGAGTTTTTAATCAAAAGTTAAAAAGGAACATGTTACTTTTGGAACCGTTTTGGAATCTAATACGAAAGTAAAACTGGAACGTGGCAACCTGTTCCAGAAAAATAACCATTCAGCACACCTGTAATGTAGAATTACCTCAAAACATGTACCTATATTGTAAACGACTTTTATGCAAAGCTTTATTGTCTAGCTCGAATGAGGGTTTTTTCGATGTTTACCTAGAGAAGGTCTAATGACCCTCTTCGTTTATCGGCTGAGAGATAATTGGCATCTAAACATAAAAGTATCGATTACTTGAATGTAAACATAGATTTTCTTCAATATCTATACATGGAATAAGTGTAAACGGATGTCGAATTAACATGAATATATATCTGATGAAATGATATCTGAACAATAACATATAGGAAGTTTAAAAATTGGCTTCACTTTTCTGGTGTTGTTGTCTGCAAGTATGTAAGGAGTACGGAAATTTGCGCTACACAAATTCCTGTTGCCATATTAGATCATCAAAGGTAACAATATAAAGTTAAATAGAAAATGGAATATTTTTTCAAATATCCGACTAGACATTTCACTCCAATCAGTTGAAAAAAATAATTTTTTTAAGATCTGTTTCCGAAATTATTTCTTTCATTCTACATGCGATTCTCACGTAGACAATTGGGCCAATAAATTTAGACTCCTCCCTCAAAAGGAACTATGTATACCGATTTTGAATAACCTTATATGTTAAAGATGCATCAATTTTTATTATCTCTATGAATGCTATCTATTATTTCGCTCATGCAATACTATAAATACGAAAAACCTTCGAAAAGATGTAAAATAATATTTGATCTTATATATTCTAAAAATATCTGGTCTGATGCTATGTTGGATTAGCAACTTTAGATATATTTTAATATTATCACTGGGAGGTAGGTTCTACCTAAGTAAATAATCCAAAAGTGACCCAATACCTAAGCATCCCAACATTAAAAGGGAGTAAATATTAATGAAGATAAGTTCTTAATAACTCAATAAATGTAAGCTCTTGGAGATAAGCGGCGAGATAAATTTCGCGAAATTCCAATTTATATGTATTCATTCACCTCGTAAAGATAAAGTGTCAGGTGACAAACACGAATTGTAAATAGATCCAAGTAATCTGCATTTAACAGCAAACATAAATTTCAGGTTTGCAAATATTCACATTTAAGTAGTTTTTCTACAAATTTATCTTTGGTACATTCTTAAACAATGAGTGTCCCATGTATTTTGGGTGCATGCTTAAATAATAAAACGTCTTTATTGTTTCAGAGAAATCATTGAACTCGTTGAAAAACCGATTGCCAAATTTGGAATTGTGTTACCGCGAATAACACCAGCGACCTAGATCCGATAAGATGGAAATTTTACATAATTGGTTTTGCTGGGCAAGTGGGAATAAAAATTTAAAATAGCAATATTTAACTTACTAAAGTTCCAAATATCAGATTATATACCTACATCAATTTTTAGTATGTAAAATACATATTAAGGGGATATTCCACAGCCATGGACATATTTTAATTTATCGAACTGTTCGGTCACATCCATTGGTGATATTTAGGTAGATTAAATTAAGAAACTATAAAGACATTAACTAACACGGTAAGTATAAGTCAAGCAATGAATCGCTTAAGAACGGAATTTTGAGTATATAAAACTTAATATAGTATGTAACTACAGTAAATATACAGAATACAAAATCAAGTTTGCAGTTTGGATGCGGCATATTGAACTCGCACTTTTTTGTTTTTTACGCAGCCAATACTTTAAATCAAAATTCATTTTTCAAAGCAATTCATTTGTAACCAAGAAACCACAATGTAATAAAATGCAAATTACTTATAATCTAAGGAAATTCCCGTCATCTTCATATACACATCATAAGATTTCCAGAACAAAACTCTGAGGATAAAAAACTGRAATCGGAAAAAAAATAGAGTGCTTCATAAAMTACATTTCAAAARTTTTCCATACCGTSATACGCTTGGATAAATATTGTAATAATACAATAAATTGGTTAATAAAATTYAGTACCTGTCCTTACTAGTGATGGGAACTATCGAATAAAAACGAATTATTCGATAGCGATGTTTTATCAGTGCTGGAAACTATCGAATTATTCGAAAGAGATGTTTTCAACTATGGAAGCCATCGAATTATTCGATATTCACTTTTAGGCTCAAGCTGTTGAAAACTATGATTGATTATAAACTGACAATCTACTCAACTCAAAGAAGAATGGAGTCCTTTGCTTAACGATTACTGAGTTTTAAGAATTATTTTTATTTCTGTGTGTTTGTGTTTCTTCTTGTTTATTTATTTAAGAAAAAATATATTGTATATACATATGTCATTTGAGTTTTATTTTTTATTTAAAATTTAAAACATTTATTATTTAAAACTTTTCGAACCTGTTAGAATTGTAAATCTAAAACATTTTGAAACAAGTTACCTTAAAATGTTTTGTAAATATTTTTATGAAAACTATAGTGATTCTGTGATGAGTAAAAATATTTTAACTGGTGGTACATTTTTTTCCTCGAAGCAGGACAACCCTATAGTTCTGCTTCTAGGGCGAAAATGCACCATCAATTAAAATATTTGCGCTCTTCAAAGAAACACCATGTATAATGTGACAAAATATGTATTTGCAACGTTGAAATAACGATTAGCGCAACGTTTCAGTAACATTTCCTTGAAACGTTTTAGCAATGTTTCAGCGAAACGTTTCTGAGGGCGGACATTTTCAGTTACATTAACATTTCTGAAACATATATGTAGTGCAGATAACTGAAACGTGTCGGGATTTAAACATACGTTTCTGAAACACAATTTTTTTTAGCGAGCTGTGAGCTTGCACATTGGACGGAATACCCTGTTAATTCGTTACCAGGTTGCGCTTCATGAAAAGTACCAAATGACCATGTTTTTTCTGATGTCAGCAGCACAATACAAGTTGATACAGGTTAGTTCATAGAAAAAAAATCTAAGTTTGTTGCTACTAAGCTGCTTAGGCCCTCGGACAAGCGCGATAGATGGCGACAACATCCAGTTCCGCGCAGATGTAAATTACATGCTAAATCCTGCTGATGAGAGCTAAAAGGATCACACATCTCGAATATGAGCTTACTTATATTATGGGAAAAGGTCTTAAATCACATATTAAGAAATATACATATTACTCCAATTTCAATCATTTTCTGCTCAGCCCTTTCCAGTTCCAACATAGTTTTTGCAAAAGTAAGAAAATACAATGATGTAAGAGAAATTAACAATGTAATTAAATCAGATTTGGACCACAAAAATAGTTTTGTTGTGCCTTAACAATTTCCATTACCCCTGAGATCTCCACTGTATTATAAAACTACCAGTCTTAAAACGAAAGGTAAAAAAAGTTAGCATATAATACGGTAAGGCATCGCCTATTCAACGATTCACCTACTGACGATCGACGAGCAATTCGCAGTAAAAGTAATGACGGAACAGCTAGAAGGCCACTTTCTGGGCTTTGACGTCAATGTAAAAGACCAGCGGCTATTGTGTTTGGGAAAGCCTAATCTTTTACCTAACAGGCGGCGGACATTTATTGCATCAATTCTTGGTATTCAGAGGAACTAGAACATACTGTTTCGGTTAGAGGATGACTTGACAGAATTGAAATAGTTTAATGCAGGAAATAACTGATTAGACTGGGGGTAATGCAAACTAGCCGCAAAGCCACTATTCATAATTTTTTATAAAATATTGGTTCTAGTTCAAATTTGGAAGATTTTTATTTATTAAGTCGTATTGCAAATGGCTTATTAGTTAGACAATTATATCGGCACTTCTTGTTGCTGGACATGTTCTAGTGCAGATTTACGTGATTTGTTATTATTCAGCAACGGTCTACTGAGAGAGTAAAAATAATTCCAGTTGCAATAATTGATATTTACTGCAAATTTTAATGCAAAATTAAATTATTAATAATAATAATACATATGTGTAAATTTAAGTCGATGTGGAAAAAATAGTGTTTTAGTGGTGTTCCGAATCAGAATTTTCCAAACCCATTTTGTGCATATCTCGAAACATTGGACTGCATCTCAGTGACAAAACGTTTCGTCGTAATTCATATTGAACATGGGCTGCCCAATTGATAACTTTATAATGTGTAAAATCCATGTCAATTTGGTTTAACAATTCAGTGACATCCGTTATTTTTTTTCGATGTCTTCTAATGTTTCTGTATGCTGCCACCCAGACAATAGAAGAATGTCTTCCTCATCCCATCCATCAACCTGTTGCTCAATGGGTTCCATGACTTCTATATAAGTTCAGGGCGCACATTTTCCCAAGCTTTAGCCAGTTCAGTCATAACATCTTTCAGGTTATTTATTTTGATTCTGTAGATATTTCCCCACTTTCAGAAGCGGCAATCCGTTTTAAGAGACATTTTCTGAAAAGCACCTTAATCGCTTGAATCACATTTTGATTCATGGGTTGCACTAATGAAATACGAACTGAAAAACTAAAAAAAATACAAGAGCCTTTGCACTGCTGGAACAAAATCTGTGTAGAACCATTTTGTAAAAATATCTGCTTATTTGCTTATTCCTTGGCAAGGCATCGACAACTATTAACTTCCGAAAGAACGAGGCTCTCCAGATTTGCGTAAAGCTTGATTCTCATGAGTCCGGAATGCTATTCGGCATGCAGAGTGCGAAACGTGCGCGTGCAACCGTAGGTACTCGTCTTTATCTATGCTCATGAGAACCCGGCTTAACACTAACAATATCATTAGATGAGTCCCAGATGCGTTTGAACAAGGCATAAATGTAATTCTCTTCTTGCTCATTTTTCTACTTCAGGCTTTTGCCTCAGATTGATCAGCAAGCGTCTTTTGACAGATTCCTGAAGAACTGCATTTTCCGGACGTTGTTTCGAAGCAATTCTTTCACTCTACGGCTCCTCGTCACTGAATAATTTTTCGCCTGCGATGGATAGTTATGGAATCCCATATCGGTTTTCAAATTTATCAAGACGTCACTCGCTTTAAAATTTCTCTTATCGTCAGTTTAATTATAAAAAATTTGGTATTTTTTCCTTAAAATTTCTCCTAACTTCGGAGAACACATTTTTTTGTGAAGCGGAGGAACATTTTGGAGGTGAGAGTGTCTCGAACCGTATAATTCGGATAAACGAATTGCTGTTCGGACTATAGCGGCAGCTTCCGGACGTTAAAGAGGTTTTACTGTCTTTATTATTATTTTATTGAGTATATTTCTCCGTAAAAGTTTTGGTTTCAGCCGGCGTAAGCTAATTTAGTATGAATATCGTATCTCTCAATATCTCGCAGGCAAAATTCAAATTGTTGCTCTTCAGAAAATAATTAATCCTGAAATATTTTATCTTCAGGAGTATCCTCGTATACATTATGATAAGCATGCAGGTTTTGATTGGAGCAGGGCAGTTTGTTATAGAAAATATGATAATAGTGATTTTCACAACCTGAAATTTATTCAGTAGATTTGTTTAAGGCCACCCAACATGCCTGTTCAATTCTTCAGCTTCTGCGAAAACAGTAAAATTTACTATGATTCCCGTCGCTTAGCAGAAACTTAAAATTGATCGTAAATTTGTAACATTAATTGTGTTAATTACAGCATTTGCCTGGTCAGTAGCAAGATAATGAAAAAATGTGAGAGAGTGTAAAAATGGAGGTTCTCAACTCCTTTGCACGGGAAGAAGAGTGGTGAGAGTCGAGTATTTAGGTAAAAATTGAACACTATTTGAAAATTAGAGCTATTTACTTTTGACCGTCTAAAAAAATCCTTCGCGACTGCCTTAAAAACAGTTGAAAAGAAAAACATGTAAATCTCGTCCAGAATAGAAGTAAATAATATTCACCATTTTGTCAATAATAAGTGGGTTCCTCTTTGCCTACAAAGCATCGTACATATTAAATGTTGACCGTATTATATTTTTATCTGCTAATATTCATAAACCTGATCAAACAATAGCTGAGCGAGAATATGAATTTTTCTCTATTATCGCTGGTTAGCGTTAAGATTGAATAAAAAAGCACATTCCATCTAATCTATATACCGGCTTTGTTTAGTAAAACCGCATGATACAACGTCCACTATTATTGTCTAATCGGATTAACAATAACATTGTTGAATGTTATCGCATACTGCACACTGCACCCAGCTGTTAAATCCAAGAAACGGCATAAAAGAAAAAAGTTAGTCACGCAGCTGTGTGGTGAATAAAATTTGTATTTTGCAACAATTGCCGCGATATATGGCGATTGTCGTTCACCTATTTCGGCACGTAGCTTTTATTATTTGTGTTTTGCAACATTTTGATTAAATAACGGTGCCCAATCTCTATGACCTGCTTCCCTATCTTCCAATGTCATTGATCAAAAGTAGAACTGTGCGATGAAAAATAAACTAAACATTACTCAGACCTGAGAAAACATTTAAAGCATTTCAGATTGTAAAGTTGTCGCTCTAGCGTTTTTAGGAAAATAAACTTAGAATTGATTCTGATTCCTGTCGAATTTTTGCATTGATACGCTGCTTCATCTGTGGAGTAAATATCGAGCAAATATAATAGGATATTTTCTAAAACTTCTTTTTAGTTTGAGCTCAAAATTTTGAACAATAAATAGCAGTTTGTTAATGTTACGTTCGTGTCTTCACCAAATTGATAATCAA